ATTTTATTTCCTCTGATAGCTTTGGGTTAAATTTTCTCTTTTTCTAGTTTTTTGCTTTGTTGTGTTTTTGYTTTTGTTTTCATTTTGAGATGGGGTCTTGCTATGTTTCCCAGGGTTGTCTTGAAATTCATGGGCTCAAGAGTTTCTCTTGTCTCAGTCTCCCTAGAAGCTGGGACTGTAAGCATGTAACACCACAGAAAGATTTTCTACTTTTTAAAAAACTTTCTTTTAGTGTTTTTAAAAAATTTGTTCTAACTAGTTATTCATGGCAGTAGAATGCTTTTTGACACACTGTACACAAATGGAACTTAACTTCTCATTCCTCTGGCTATACATGGTGCTGACTCATACCAGTAGGGTAACTACTTTTCTAATTTTTAAGTGCAAACTTAGGTTACTTTCTTCTTATCAAACATAAGCATTTGATACTATTAATTTTTCTTTGAATACTGCTTCTACTGTGTCTCATGAATTACAAGTTGCAGTTCAATTTAATTTCCATTGTGATATCTCCTTTCACCCATTAGTTATTTAGAAGTTTGTCATTTAACTTCTGAGTATTGGAGGATTTCCCAGATAGTTCTGTAATTAGTTTCTTGTTTCATTTCATTGTGGTCAGAGACCATAAAATACATGAATATAAAGCGTATGATTTAAATTCTTAGAACTTTATTAAACACTTGCTTTATGAGATAGAGATGGTATATCTTGCATGTACATTTGTTAAAACCCTATTTTTGCTGTTGTTGGGTGGATCATTCAGGTCATTTGGTTGCTCGTGTTCAAGTTTCCCATAGTATCACTTGTTTTTTTTTTTTTTTTTTTTTTTGGTCTACTTGGTCCACCAGTCACAGGGGAGAGAACTGATTTCTCCAGCTCTAATGGTGAATTTGTTTATTTCGCCTTTCAGTTCTATACTTAGTATTACTGTGTATTTGGAGGCTCTATTATTAGGAAACTATACATTTAAGATTTGGAATAGTGATATCTCTGGTGTGCTTCACAAAAGCRAACTCCAAACCTCTCTGGAAAGATACTCTAGACCCAAGTACACAGTTTTCCAAAAGTCTAACAGAATTAACTCATAATCCAACTCTGCAACATCAAGGACACAATTTTGCCTTGGTTGAGAATTAGGAGATTTGGAAAATATTAGAGCACACTCCCTAAAAATGTCAGGTAACTACACAGAACTATTGGACCAGTAGACAATAGGACTAAATAGACCAACAGACCAGGCAATCAGACTAAATAAATAAATAAATAGAATAGAATAGAATACATACCCCCCCACACACCCCAACACTCTAAAAAAACAGGGAAAAGCTTATTAAAACCACAATGTGATTAACTAAACACCCACCTAAATGGCCAAAATGTAAAATACTTAGTGCTGATGGGTGTGAGGAACCACCAGAATGCGCACACACTGCTAGAACAGTAACTTTGAAAAACTGCTCTGGTACCAACTAAAGCTTAACCCATCTATACTTTAAAACCTAGATTTCATTATTAGAAATGTCCAACTTCAATGTGTGCATATTTTCCAGGAGATCAGTACTAGATCACTTATAGATCCCAAACTGAAAGCTAGTGAAGTGCCAGCCTATCATTCAGAAAAATGAATAAACAGGGGTAATACTAAACACAATGGAATATTAAGCAATAGTGAGAATTACTAGCTTATGACTATAGGCAGCTGTTATAAACCAAATGCCTGTCTCCCTCTGAAGTTCCTATATTGAAGTCCCAGCGCCCAGTGTTATGGGTAGGAGGCAGGGTCTTTGGGAAGCAATTAAGTTTAGGTGAGTTCATGAGGCTAGAGCCCTCATAATGGGATCAGTGCCCTGTAAGAGGAAGAGACAGAAGAGCTTCCTCTCTCTGCCACATTAAGACACAGTGAGAAGGTAATTATCCCCAAGCCAGGAAGAAACCCTTCACCAAGAACCTGACCTTGTTAGCACTCTGACATTGTATTTTCCATTCTCCAGCATTTTGAGAAATAAATGTCCGCTGATTAAGCCACCCACTGTGGTACTTTGTTATAAGCACTCTGAGCTAAGACAGCAACATAAAATGGAAGAACCTTATAAATGTAACTTTGAACTGGGAGCAGTGGCGCAAGCTTGAAATCCCAGTTATGCAGGGGGCTAAAGCAAGTTCAAGGCCAGCCTGGGCAACTACTTAGTGAGATCCTGCCTCAATAAAAAATGAAAAGGGCTGGGGATGTAGCTTAGTGGTAGAGGGAACCTGGTTCAATGCCCATAAAGCAAACAGACAAAAAAAAAAAAAAAAGCATAACATTGGGAAAAGAAGCCAGGCATGAATACTATTTATATAAAGCACAAGATTGGCCACATTAATGATCTATAATGCTAGAAGGGGTTACCCTTGTGGGGGGTAGGAGTGGGTAGCTGGTGATTGGAAAAGAGCTTCTAGAGGGCTTGGGGAAAGGGACTAGTAATGATCTGTTTCTTGATTTAGTTGCTGGTTACACGTTTGATTTGTGAAAAAAAATAATGCTATATAGTTATGATATGTGTGATTTTTTGGTATAACTAATAAAAAGATTTAAAAAGGTTTACCAAACCCCTACTGAAAGAATAAGACAACACACAAAAAGATTTTGAAAAACAGTTAATGTTCTAGGAATAAAAATAAAACACAATAGCCACTGAAATAGAGTTGTAAACAGTAAATAAAAATAGCAGAAGAAGGAATTCTTTATTTGGAAAGAAGATTTGAGGAAATTTCCCAGGATGAGGAATAGTGGGATAAAGAGATGGAAAATATGAAAGAGTAATTAGACATAGACTAAAATGTGAAGATGTAAATAGGACTACTAGCTGGAAGAGACGTGATATGCAAAGAAATGAAATTTTCCAGAATTGATGAACAAGAAGAAGACTCAGTTTCATGAGGAATGAGTTCCTGAGCAGAATAAATACAAATGACCTACACTCAGAACCCTAATATTTGACTGCTGGAAAAATTCTTAGAGAAAAGTTTGTCTCCTTTGTTTTAAAGATGGACAAATTGAGGCCTAAAATGATTAAGGGCTTTGCATAGAAACGAAGAGCAGATYAAGGCAGGGAGAAAAATAATCTGATATACTGAATTTTAAAAGTAATGGATAAAAGAGCAAAATACTTTTCTGACTTAAACCTTTCTACTGGCATCACTGTTGAAAACAGCAATCTGAAAATATTCTCTTCAAAGAATTTAATTCACAAGTTGACAAATGAAGGTGTGACTGATTTGAGTGCCATGTAACAAGTGTTTGACAATGACATAAAATGAACCAGCAGGGCAAACTGGCGCTGCTCACACACACCTTAAAGAAAGAAAATTTCAATACAATCCTATTTAAATTTTAAGTACAAGGCTATTATGACGACTTCAGAGCTTATTATCCTCTATTTAATAAATGTCCTAACATTATAGAGTGCTTTTGAATCACATCTTCTATTTTATACCTCAAAAGGTCAACTGTTTGCTTTCTTTGAAAACAGAACAATCCACCACCTAATTGAACCTCTATATGTCCATTGTAAGTCCAATACAAATTTCAAACAGGTCAGAGTCATAAGATGTACTGAAGACCTGACATAAAGCACTCTTAGCAGAATCATTTTTGATGATGAGCCAGTGGCTTGTCTTGATTCAAGTATTTGAGAGGAAAAGATCTGGTCAGTATAAGACACTGTGAGTTTAGCTCTTACTCACATTTCTCAATCTTGAATTTATCGACAGCAGATTTCTATTATTTTAATGCTCAAGGATTTAAAGATTTTTTTTTTTTTAGTTGTAGATGGACACAATACCTTAATTTTATTTATTTATTTTTATGTGGTGCTGAGGATCGGACCCAGTGACTCTCGTGTGCAAGAAAAGTGCTCTACCACTGAGCTAAAACCCCTGCCTTAGGGCTTAGGGACTTTAAGACCACAAATAAAATAATTCTAAAGCCACTTTGTTGGTCTTAGGTTAGGACAATATTTTTCAGTAATATAAAAGGCTTAAAGTGTCCAAAATGTAGAGATTTGGTATATTCCAGGTTAAGACATTTTTAAGAATTTCTAATTTATCTTTTGCTTATAAGAAAAATAACTGTATTATGGTATGAAGCCTTAGGCCTGAAATATATGAGACATAAATACTTCTTTAATATTTTTGATTAAAATGGTGGTGGGGAGAGAGCTGGTACTTAAATTCCAGACTGGATGAATCTTGAATTTTTCAGAGCATCTCTATTAGTTTTAGCTACTTGTGAGAGTTACAAGAATATTTTAAAGTTTCAGTAAAATTTAACCCTTAATACTTAACAAACCTGATGATGATAAAAGAGAATGAATTCATAAAATAAGTTAGCAAATCTAGACAGCAAAATGAAAAAAAAAGCCTTAAGGTTTACAAAAGTCATGATAAACATTTTTATCAAACATTTGCTGCATAAATAACTCATACAGATCAAGAAACCATTAAGACATTTATTTATTTAGATGTACAAAGTATGCAGGTAATCACACAAAAGCAATTTAGAGAAACTTTGATTTTTCTCTTATTAAATAACAACAGCACTTAAAAATCCCAACACAAATGGGACTCTGTGAGGTGTAACAATTCTGGGAATGCAATAAGGCAACATAAAACATAAAAGTCAAATAATTTCACTGAATAATCCCACTCTGAGAATTTATCCTCATAAAACAAAACAATTCAAGTATTTTGTCATAGGAAAATGATTCAAACAAATTATGAGTAGGTAGGAATATGATTACAATAATTACTATCAAAACTAAATATGGATAATATCAAATAAAAATTGTCAATAAAAAAACTATAGGTGCCTGCCGGACATGGTGGTCACAGTGATATCAACTACTCAAGAGGCTGAGGCAGGAGGATCATAAGTTCAAGGACAGCCTAGGCAACTTAGCGAGACTCTGTCTCAAAATAAAAACTAAAAAGGGCTGGGGGTATAGCTCAGTGGAGGAGGGCCCCTGTGTTTAATCCCCAGTACCAGTTTTTTTTTTTTTTTTTTTAAGTAGTATAGGTGACTTAAGACTAATTATCTGAACAAAAAGGAAAAAAATGGTATTATAAAAATCAAACTTTGAAAGTTAGTGCATTAGGATGGTAAGGACTAGAGGTAATTTTTCTATTTGGGAAAATTTTCTTCAATGTTTTCAATATAAAAGAAAAGGACTGGCTATCATTTTTGGAAGTTATTTCCTTCTCAAATAATCTTGACATTTTCCTAATCAGTAAATTGTACATGTCAATTTTTAAGATGGAAAAAAAAAGCAGAACTACCTCATCCATATTCTAAAACTGAAACATTCCCCAATTTGGACTTTGGCAATGAATGAAAACATATTGTAACCTATGCCACTCTTAACAGGCAGAGGTAGCCACTGCCACCTTTGGTTGACACAAATTGTAGAGTACTACAAATGAATAAAATAATAAATTTTCAATTTATAAATTTATGTGTTTGTTATTTTATGTTAATGCAGCAAAGTATCAGTATGCTCAGTTTTGGGTCTCATACTAAAAATTAGTTTTAATATTTTCATTTCAAATGTTGCCAATATGCTGAAGATGCTTTACTGAAGCACCTAACTTTGTATATTAACCACAAATAGATAAACCACAAATAAAATCACTTTAAATTTAAATGTTAAAATGCTGAGTTGCAAGCAGGCAACCACCTTTAAGAAGAAAGGTAATCAATAAAAATCCCAAAACTCAAATTTTATGAAATTTAAAATTTTCCTTTTGAAATTATATTTGAGTAAATGAAGAGGAAATTAAACATTTCTGCATATCAGTTGCATAATACATTACATTCTCAACAAAATTATGAAGGATGCATTACATAATATTTACTATTTTGTAATTTTCAAAATTATGGGAAAGAGGGATTTGTAACTTTCCAGCTATTTGAACAAATTTTAAGTATTTGGAGCAGAAGGGATCAGCTGGAATGCACAGGACAGCTATCTCCAAGTCTATAAACTTCACTATAAAGAGCAAATCACTGAAGAAACCAGAGAGAGAGAGAGAGAGAGAGAGAGAGAGAGAGAGAGGGAGAGAGAGAGAAATAAAAGTTAAAGATCAGAGAAAACCTTAACTTAAGATACAGTCTGTAGTTTAAATTTTTAAAATTATGTTACTTAGTAATTTGGCACAAAGTAGTTGATTGGGTTGATGAAATCACACACACAAAAAAAGAGCACACAGCTGCACAAAGCTATTGGAGGAGGAGCTGTCTTGGACTCTAACAGAAGAGAAATTAATTCAATATTAGTTTTTATTTACATATTGTAAGTGGTAGCAGCAATGATTGGTTCATTTACAAATATTTATTATAAAACTTTATTCATTTCTAAGATCTAAACACACACAGCAAATACTAGGTGAGTGAGTACAGTCTTTTTAAGGAAATGTTTTTTAATAACAAACTTTCCAAAGGCAAGAAGGAGTTCAGTAATGGCCATTTCAAACAGAGTTAGAGAATTCTTAAACAATGAAGCCACATGGAAATCCAAATAAAATCAAAATCACATTTAATGATGCTACTCAGACACATAGCTCATAAATCTTTGCTTAGAAAATCAGTTCAGCTTTTTCATAGAAAAAGGCTGAAGAAATCAAACTCAGCATCAATATCCTAATTCCAATCAAATTCATTTTTTAATATAAAAATATCTTAAAAGAACAATTGATAGTATAGAAAAGAATTGAACAAGTGCAACTCCTTTCATAATGTATAGTAAATAAATTGTAGGCTATAGAAACTAAATGATGGTCATTTTTATTCATGCAAAAAAAAAAAAAAAAAAAAGAAGTAGTTAGAAGAATCAGTTGTCCCTTGCACGTAGCTTGTCATTCTGCATCTACACACAGGATTCAAATGTCAACCAGGAAATGATGATATTCTCAGGTCAACTTCAGAATGTCTTATTAACATCATCTTCCCCCTTTGTCTCGTTTAGAGTCATATATTCACAGCTCAAAATCTGCTCATTAGACTCTTCGGGTTTTGATTTTTTAAGTGTCAGCTCTGCTGGCAGAAGAGACGAGCAATGCTCAAGAGACTGTGCAACGTCATCAATTGTCCATTTGTCCTCAGGGAGGGCATGTTCTTCTAGTGTAAATGGCCCCTGTTTGGTTCGGGTAAGCTCTAGTACATTGGCACAGGAAGAGAGCTCTACAGCAACAAAAGGTGAAAATTCCATAAGATGAGTGTTTCAGTATTTCACAATCTATAATCTTTCAAATGACAAAAGAACTTGACTCAAACCTCTCAAAACCATCCCAAAAGCCGACCTGTAAGTAAACCAGTAAGAGCCAAGACCCCTGAGATAAACAAATAATTAAGTGGCAAAACAATATAATAACTCATGAACTGCTTTAAAGTCTACAAAAAACTGGCACATATTTATTTTTATTCAATTCATGAAGCAACCTCATGAGGTCAATTTTACCCTTACTTTGCACAGGAGATATACTAGTCTAGTGTTGTAACTGCCGGGAAATAGCAGAGCCAGAATCACAACTTCCTGGTGGATTGTGAGACTATGGTTTCCAGGATTTTTTTTTTTTAATGTGATTTGCATCAATAAATATAACTTTTAGGAGGATACATCTTTTTTTTTCTGATATCTACTTGGAGTTAAAATGTTTTGTACTTAAAAAAACATTGGCTCTTGCATTCATTACTCCTGCCTTCATCTGCCATTCCTTTCTCTTCCTGTACCATCACAAGTCCCTCACTATAGCTGCAGAGGATGGTAATTCCATGCTAGAAACTGACAATGCTCCCAAGGCTGAAAGCAGTAAGAGCTCAGTTCCACAGGCCAGTACTCAGAAATATGAAAAATAGAAAATTCCCTCTTCCCATCAAAAAGGAATATTACTCTCTAAATGATAATTCATAATTCATTTTTCTGCTTACCTTTGCCAATGTCACTGACCAAGCTTCTGATATAAAAACCTCCTCCACATTCAACATCTGGAATGTTAACAGTGACATGGTAAATTGCTAACCTCCTATGAAATCCACTTTACATAGAAATGATGCCCCTAAACAAGTGTAAAAAATGCACTATGCAAACCATTGAGTGATAAAATATTTATGTGCTGAAACATAAATTATTCATCCTGCAGCATATGTGTTTGTGAGATTGAAAAGTCAAAGTGTGGAGAAAGCAAACAGCAGAAACTCATGAACACATTTTAAATTAACTGGCGAGTCATACCACTTTAATACCTCAGCCTTGTTCCCTTAATAGGTTTTAAATAGTCAGAAATCTCAGTTTTGCTGTCATGAAATACAGACATTAAAAATACTTTCAGATACATGAACCTTGTTCATTTATTAGGTTTTAAATGGTTGGAAATATCAGCTTTGCTCCCATGAGCTGTAGATATTTAAAACCTTTCAGATATGTAAGTTCAAAAAAATATAACCAACAAACCAAGCAACAAAGAAATCCTTTCACAATGATAAGAATCATGTTTGTGTATTATACTATACACAGAAAGCTCAGGATATGTAAATGTTATTTTTGAAATATTTTTGAAAAAAATAACAACATAACTTGAAATTACACAAAGTCCTAGGACTGACTGAATATCTAATCAGCTTGTTAGCATAGCATTTACAAGTTCATCAGTGGAGAGCAGGGGTTTGCTTCATTTCATTATCATCAAGATATACCGAAAAGAGCTGCCGCATTTCTACACAAAAGGACTACATTCTTGCTGTTTCTAATATCAAGGAAGGAATACAGCCATCAGGGAAATTAATAAAAATTCCCCACCTGGAGATTTTAATTATTCTTCTTTCTTTCCCCCCATGAACTAATGGTTGGCGACACTGATAAAATACAAAGGAGCACCAGGATGGAATCGAGGTGTGCTGACAGTTTTTGCATTATATCTGACTTCGGTGAAAGACAACTCTTTGGCCTACTGCAGTCTCRAGTCAAAGAAATAAGGCATTTATGACATATGAAGTCAGAAAAATAGGAATTTTCTTATTTTTGTAAATAATACTCACTCTGCCAGGCCAGCTGTTGCATTTTCAGTGAATGGAGCAAAATACTTTTCAGTGTGATTTTTTTTTTCCATTATTTGTCAGTTTACAATCAAGGTACTTAAGAAAATGAGTTTCTTTAACTATATAATACCACATTCTGCAGAAACCTAATACACATTAAATAATAATGCCAGTGACAAAAAGCAACAAAGTTTAGGAATAAAGGTTTTGGAAAGTTATTTCTAAAAGGAATCCTAACTATATGAAATTAATGGTGGGATCAATGTCAGAGAGCTTGAGCATCAAGAACTACACCTCCTGATACTTCACAGCTCTTAGGTGCTCAAGACTTTACCTACAACTTGCTGCAGCCAGGAAGCACATAAAATTTCTAAACAACAAAAACTAGCTTTTTAGTTTATTTCAAATCTGAATTATATATTCAAATTGATGGCCTGAATTAAAATGTGACCATGTTGTCAAAGATACATTCTGCCTTATCTGTTTCTTCCATATTTTCAGGATCTTTAGTAGTAACTTACAGGAAACAAAGGGCGGGGGGGGGGGCGGGGGAATGAGTCCATTCTTAAAATTTGTTTTTGTCCAAAAGCTAAAAATATTTTATTAAAGGATAAAATTCTTTAATAAAGAATTTTTTTCTTTATTAAAGGATATTAAGAGGACAAATTAACATCTATTCTAAAACCAAATGTATCAGTAATAGTCAAAAATGGAAAGAAAAGCATTCTATAAGATAAAATTTTAAGTCTAAAACATTGAAGATATATACTGTTTTCTCCATAGAGAGCTTTTTCTCTTTTTGCAGTACTGGGGATGAAACCCAGGGCCTTGGACATGCTAGGCAGTGCTCTAAACTGAGCCACGTCCCCAGACCTTCTCCAGCGGGATGGATCTAAGGTATGGTACTTCCAATTTAATAGCAAGATGACATCCTATAACATGAAAAACTCAGCCTAGTGAAAAAAGACATTTCTGAACCTCCATGTAGCTTGAGGTATCTCATTAAATGTGTAACCAAATCACAACCTTTCATAAATTCAAAATTTAAGAAGAATCTCCAAAAACATAGGGAACCATTGGAATTATTCAACAGCAACTAAATATAAATAAAGGTACAGTAAATACAAATGATTTCAGATTTCTCCATCTTACCTAATGTGAAAAATGGCGGCTGGAAATTTTGAAGGGAGATACTGTATACAGTTACTGGCCTGGCAGGTTTTGCTTCTACTACTTCACCTCTCTTCATTAAAGTTGAAAGTCTCTGTCCATCTTTCTTTAATGCAGAATAACTTACAAGATAAGAGAGGGAGAGAGGGAGGGAATAAGAGAGGACGATCTGAGGGAGATTGAGAGAGAATGAAAGATGGTAATTCCATATGATGGCATGAAAAGAAAGAATATCTAGCAGCCCTTTAAAGTGAAAAGCCCTTCTAAAACTTGAACTGGTTTTTCTTCCAACCCACTCCAAAATGTTTTCAGGGATAAAGCTCCTAAATATCTTAGAGGCTAATTTGAGCCCATTCTGGCATTCAATAAGCCCTTCTTTAACGATCTTCCTGGAGATGGGCTATTCATACATTCCCTTCCCTAGTCTCTTTCTAAGTCAAGGGCACAAGGAACTCAGTAGTAGCCTCTGGTCATAATGATCTCAGCTAAATTTCCTTGAAATAATTTCTACTATAATAAATTTCACTTTATATTAAAGTTATCAGTGTTTCTAAAAAGCTTATAAGCATAAACTCTACTTCATATATTTTAACTTTGTGTAATAAAATTTTATTAGGTCACAAAATCTTTGGATAGTCAGAGCAAAGAAAATCTAAAATGGTCCTTATAAGTTTAATTCAGTTTAACAATGGCCTAAGTTAATTTTTATTCAGGCCTTACTAAAATTTTTAAAGTTTTACATTTGAGGAAATATATGAAAAACCATTTTTCCATAGGTAGTTCAACATTCTTAAAAAGAGGGAAAAAAGACTTAAAAATGCAATATGAATACAGAATTCTAAAATAACTCTTAGTAACTTACCCTGACTTAACCTCAGCCATTTAAAAAAAAAAAGTGATTTGCCTGAAATGGTCACATGCGCACAAATATGGTTAAGTGGTGTTATGGTTTTAACGTCTATGACTCTTCCGAATTTAAAAGTTGAAATCCTAAGTACCAATATTATGGTATTAGGAAGCAGGACCTTTTGGATGGTGATTAGATCACAGAGCATAGCCCTCCCAGAAGGGGTCACTGCCCTTACCAAAGAGGCCCCAGACAGCTGTATTGCCCCTTCAGTGTGAGAACACAGTAAGAAGGCACTGGCTATGAGAAAGTTGGCCCTCACCAACAACTGAACCAGGAGTCCCTTATCTTGAACTTCTCAGCATCCAAAATTGTGAGAAATAATTTCTGCTGTTTCTAAGCTATAGTTTATATTTTGTTATAGCAACCTGAATGAACCGAGTGGTAAAGCAAAATATTTATATTTTTAATATAATTCTCATCTGTTCCATTTGTCATAGAGAAAAATTCTAGGCCCCAAAGGAATGGGCCTAACTTCTGAGAGGCAGTGCATATTAGGACATATTAGCACAACTCTGATGCTCTCAGTATGGTCCTTCATGGTAATTTCTGGGAAAATGACATCTCTGAGCAGCAGAACTGCCTTGATATCTGTAGACAGAATTGGAAAAGTTGATAAAAACACAAACAGCCCAGATGCTAGACTGTGGAATACCCAAGGACAGGAGACCACGCCACACTACCTCCTAGACAGAGCTTCACATGAGTCTAAATCTGGCTCACCTTTACACGATCATTCCCTATGGCAGATTTAAAATCTGCCTTGCCATATAACAAAAGGAATCCCATTCTAGTTTAGAGTGATGTTAAGCAGTGGAAAGTAATTTAAACATTTAATCAAATCAATAATTGAACTCACAGAGGGGGTACTTGCATTATTGTCCCAGTAAATTTCTGTAGTATGCCTTCAATATCTTCTTGTGTTATTTTATCTGCCAAAAATGAACAACAACAAAAAAAGTGACACTAAAACAATCACAGAAATACATGCACTATTTTTATAGCACCAACAGCTCTGAATTCTTTTAAAAATTTTTTCCAACTAAGCATATTAAAATGTATTTCTTATAGACCAAATTCTACCTGGTTGAGAAGAATAAAATATGTGTTAATGAGATAAAATGGATAGAAAATCTCATATTGTTCTTTGTTAAGATTAAATTTCCATTGCTTCAATTTTTTTTTCTTCAATAAAAATGGCCCAATCATCATGTATGCACTTTGCTGGTTCTGACTGTGGCCTGTAGGAGACATGAGAAAAATGCACATTAGCTATAGTAATGGTCCTGTGGTGATCAATAATGGGGTGATCAGAAAGCAGGCAGAAAAGTGATGTCTATCAATTATTTTCTAAGTTTCTAGACATCAAATATTGTAAAAACTTAATGTGAGACAGAAGATTATAAAATATTATCCACATTTTAAGTTTTACCTGAGAAGAGTTTAGTTACATAAGGTTAAAAACTGAAAACTATGATATATAAATTGAATATCTGGAATTTTCATACTTACAGATGGTTCATTATACATATTTCATATTCAGTAATAAACTAAATTTTAGAAATATTCCATAACTTGTTTAAGTCATATTTAATGGAAAGAAACTATGGTGCTTTACAATTTTGCAGGAAATTTATTTAAACTTTTTTTTTCTGGTATATGTCTATTTGATTTTAATTGAACAATATTAAACAAAAATTAATTAGTGTGAATTTTTTTWTTTTTTTTGTATCAGGGATTGAACCCAGAGGGGCTTACCCACTGAGTCACATCCCCACCCCTTTTTATTTTTCATTTTGAGACATGAATCTTGCTAAGCTGCTTAGGGCCTCACTAAATTGGTGAGGCTGGCTTTGAACTTGCAATCCTTCTACCTCAGCCTCCTGAACCACTGGGATTAACAGGCATGCAGCAGCACATCTGGAAATTAGTGCACTTTTAATTATAGTTCTAACACCATGTTAAAAATCAAATGATAACATGGAATACTGTGTTCAGACTGTAGCAACAACTCAGGAAGACAGTTTTAACCTCTGTATGACCTTGAACCTTAAAAACTAAACACAAACAAAAGACTAGACTCTACTAGACTCAAACAGATGATGAAAAGCAACAGAGCTCAAAAGTACTTCCCCAAAGCTGGGCCTGGTAGTACATGCCTATAATACCAACAACTTGGGAAGCTGAGGCAGGAGGGTTGCCAGTCTGAGGATAGCTCCAACCTCTAGCAACTCCAAAATCACAGATCTCAGAAGTAAGTCCTGTTCATACTGTTTCTCCAACAGATGTGTCTCATAATATGGGTGAGGATTTGTCCACAAAAAAATTTTACTCTGCTGCAATATTAAGACATAATTACTGGTGGCAAAACTTAGTTATGCAAATCTACAATTTTCAAACTTGACAGCTAATGGAACAACTGTGCAGGTGCCCACCCAAAGGAATGCCATTGCTGATAAAACTGCAGTAGTTCATAACGTAGCCCCTCATTTTAAAAACAAGACCAAACTGCTGTCTGCTTCTGCTAGCTGAGCTCTTCACTGACATTCCTGCAAATGTGTACTCCTTTGTCCCGCTTCAGTGGCTCTCTTTCACTGATTTCCCCCACGCAAGATGACAAGATGTGCTCTTTCTCATTCTACTTCTACCACATTGTCTCCTCCTCTGTGCTCACATTTCAGGCAKTTATGGTGTGTGCTGTTCATTCTATCATTAATCATGCACAATTTTTAACAATATTTTAAGGTATTATCTCACCAATAAAATTCTGAGCCTTTCAAAGGCAAAGACAGTTTCCCTTCTTAGATAACATTCATTATTAAGATGGTGCTCAAGACATTCTTGCTGAAATTTAATTTGCTAAAAAATAATAGAATCTCAAGGTTGAAGGACATTTAAAAGTCACTGAGGCCAATCATTCATCTGATGTTTGAATTGTCAGACATAAAGCTTACCTAGCGAGTTATAATAAAAGCTAACCTTGCCATACATGGCTAGAGAATAAAGCATGCTGGCTACATCTAAAACATGATATTAGTCCTATAACTGTTCCTATAAGAATAACATCTCTACTTCGAGAGGATTTAAAAAGAAATGCAAAATAAAAACTTCTACAGCAACAAGATCCAATAACTAGCCAAAAGATGCATATTTGGTAAAAGAAGACTGATATGACCAAAGTGTCATAGGACTTGAATAATTATTCTTTGTTCAGTAAATTAAAAAGCCATCAATGTGACAGCATTCATTTGAAATAACTTTTTTTTTGAGAGAGAGAGAATTTTTAATATTTATTTATTTATTTATTTTTTAGTTTTCGTAGGACACAATATCTTTGTTTGTATGTGGTGCTGAGGATCGAACCTAGGCTGCACGCATGCCAGGCGAGCGTGCTACTGCTTGAGCTACATCCCCAGCCCCTTGAAATAACTTTTAAAGTCATTCTCATAAAATTAATATATATGAGATCATGTAATAAATCATAATTTGCTTAAAACTTACTGGCTTTTTCAGTGAACTTACAACATAATAGTTGATGCTTAAATGAACTGGGAACTAAAAGTAGTATGATGGAGTTAAAAATATTCGCCCATAACACGGTAACTGTTACTAGACAAGTCCCACCATCACAAACAGCTGTAGCAAATAGATCAAGAGAATAAAGAATCTAAAAATAAAAGCATACATATATGGACAACTTGTTTTTGACAGAAGTTCAAAGGTTAGTAGAGAAAGGGCACTCTTCGAAAAATGAGTGCTAAAAAATTTCTAACATCCATTTGTAAAAAATAAACTCAGACTCATACCTGAGAGCATACACAAAAACCAACTCAAAATGCAGAGATAACCAAGGGACATATGGCTAAGCATCTCTGGGGTGATTTAGAAAAAGTTATCTGCTCTATTCTTACAATTTTAATCTAAGTTTGATATTACTTCAAAATAAAAAGAGATCAAAAGAGAACATTATAAATAACTTTAAGACAATTATGTTTGAAATTTTAGACAAGACAAATTCCTAGGGGAAAAATTATTTATAATGATGAAAGAAATTTAAAAATAGTAGTCTGACAGCTAGTTAAAAATCTATAATTTAAACTCTTCCTTAACAAAGAAAATTCCAGAACAGATGTCTACCAGAAAATGCTATCAAATCTATTCTAGAAATATAAGTCTAGCTTAATATTTCAATAAGGAGAAAAACTTAATAGATTCAGAAAAATATTTGATAAAATTCAGTATCTACCCATGATTTAAAAACAAACCCAAACTCAGCAAATTAGGAACTAGGAACAGAAGGTAACTGCCTTACTTTAATAAGAAAGCTACAAAACAAACCTATAGAAAAAAAAAATCTGTAAGAAGTACATCTATCCTTTTAGATGTCAAGACTTAGTCTAAAACTATAGCAATTAAGATAGTTTGGTGTTAACACAAGGATGGAAAAACTGATCTGTGTAACAAAACAGATTCCAAACAAACCCAAGCCTGAATAGTGCTTGATCTGTGGCAAAGGAGGCCATGCAGAGCAGTGGGGAAAGTGCAGGGCCAACTGGATATCCAAGTAGGAAAAAATGATGGATTACAATTGTGGATGCAACATGAAAGAATGATGGATGTAATGTGAAAGGCAAAACAATAGAAACTTCTAGAACACAGGGAAATATCTTCATGGTTTTGAGGTAAGAAAAATGTTCTTAAACAGAATGCTAAAAAGACTAACCATAGAGAAAAGACTTGTAAACTGAACCAAATAAAGACAAGAACTTCTTCTTTTTGAAAAATACAATTGAGAGAAGGAAAATGCAAGATGCAGAATAAGAGAAAATATCTAAGTAGACATCCAAAGTATATAAAGAACTCATATAAAGCAATAAGAAAAGGCAACTCAATAGAGAGAGGAAAGAAAAAAAGGAAGGAAGAGACCTAAACAGTCCATGAAAGATGGCTAATAAGCCAAAAAATCCAAATAAAATGCTGAACGTCTTTAGCAATCAAATTAAAATCACAACAAAACACCACAACATACTCACCAGTGTGGCCCAAAGTAAAAACACTGTTAATAGAATGTATTTCTAATATCAAGATGTTTCAAACAAGTGGAACTCATAAATAGCTGGTGGAACTACAAAGTTACACAACCACTTTGGCAAACTATTTCACAATTTCCAATATTGTTGAATGTACACTTATTCTATGACCCAGCAATTAAACTTAGGTATGCACAGGACAAAATATAAATAGCGTTTTATTTATAATGTCCCAAACTGGGAACAACCCCAAATACCTACCAACAGAAGAGGACTGGGTGTAGGTCTATGGTAGAGTGCTTGCCTATAGGCCCCGGCTTTGATCCCAGGGTACCACACACACAAACACATACACACTACAAAGAAGGAATAGTATTGTAATGTATACATATGTACATACGTGTGTGTGTGTGTGTGTGTGTGTACTAGTATATTCACACAGTGGGATACTGCACAGCAATAACAAAGTCCAAAATACTGACACAAGTAACACTATGCATAAATCTCACAAATATAAGTAGAAGAATCTGGCCACAAAATGATACATACTGTTTAAGAACTATCACCATAATGTTGGAAGTTTGAATAGTAATTATCTTTGGAAAAGGAGGGGGTATGACTCCCATGAGGTACAAGAAGATAAGAAGATGTTCTAGGACTCTTTTTCTTTTTTTCTTTTTTATTTGCCTCATTCTTTTTTTTTTTTTTTGGTGATGAGGATCAAAGTCCAGATCTTGCATATGCTAAGCAAGAACTCTAACATGGAGCTATACCTCTAGCCCTGGAGTCTTCTATTTCTTGGTAGCTGCATGAATGTTTAGCTTTGCGATAATTCATTAAGCTATAAACTTATCCACTGTTCATTTTTCTTTACTTGTGTAATACTTTATAATAAAAAAATTTTAAGTGTAAACAAATGGCACCATTGAGAAGATTGATACCCAGCTACATACTAATCCAATCTGAGACCAAACTCAACTCTTCAGCTTCCTATACCATAACCCTAGAAGCATAGGCAACCTGAGAAGCTGCTCCCATTAGACACATTAGTTGAGACCATTTGCAAAGACTTTGATAACTTCCTAGGTCAGAATTTCTGTATAGACCATTGTGATTAGCTTGAAATATCACTTCACTTTCACATTTCTTACCTCAAAATAAGTCATAGAGGGATAGAAAAGATAATCCCTAATAGAGGAGCAGATAGAGCTTCCTAGTAGCTGGGCCCACATCTAGCCTCAGGGCCAGAGCCCTAGTGTCCTGAGCTCAGTGGAGAACCAGTGAGCACAATGAAGCCCTGTGTCCTCAGGGACACAGCAGAATTAATACCCGGATGTGGGAGAAAAGGCAGCAGAAGGTAGGAAGATATTTGGCTTTACCTAGGACTTATCTACTGACATCTTCATAAAGGATGCGTCTGTGGCTTGCCTTACTAACTCACATACTATGTGTTTTTTTCTACATGCCACATAATATACCAAGAATAAAGTGAGGAGCAAAAGAGACAGGGGTTTTTGGCCCCATAGCTCAAGGGATTAACATAAAAGATATATTTGTGAGCAATAAAAAATGCTATTTAGGAATATCAGAGGGTGCTATGATAGAGAACAACAGGAAGGGCCTGGTTCATATGGTCTTGAAGTCTACTAAGCCAGAGACTCATTTATTTATTCCTCTAAGCTAACTTTCAGCTATCTGACACAAAAGCTAAAAACAGTGCTTGTGTATTTAGGACAAAATGATGTAAGAACATTCATCTGTCATTGATTGCAGACTGCCTTAGCTACTTCATTCAAATGCCAGTTGGTGTGAACAGGTCAATTAAGAAATGCATTTTTGGTGATTACAATTACTGGTAGGGTGGCAGCTCCAGTGGCCTTTAATAGGTAGAGGCCAGGAATGCTAGATGTCCTGCTATGCTCAGATCATAGAACATAATAAAGAACTGTCCTGGGTACTGCCTGACTTCTGGATGTCTGCCAGATATTTGTGTAGGTGAAACCCATTTATAATTACCTGAGGCTAGAACTTAACTCCATTTTACATTTAAGCACAAAAGAACTTTTTTCCAGTCCTGAGTCATTACTATGATAAACCTATGTGAGTCTGCATTTGTACTTGTGTCATTCACAATATTTTTTAAAATACTTTTTTAGTTGTAAATGGACACAATACATTTATTTTATTTATTTTTATGTGGTGCTGAGGATAGAACCCAGTGCCTCACGCATGGTAGGCAAGCGCTCTACCACTGAGCCACAACCCCAGCCCTCGATTCACAATATTTTAGTGTRGACATCTTCATGAAGACTATTAGTATAGTAATACATAAATATACATATAATACATATCACTATATCTATTTTATTAAAAGCTACTTTTATTTTTTTCTTTATATTTCATTTACTGTATTATACTGTTTTGAAAAAACGTATAGGTAAGTTAGAGTAGTTCTCAATTTTAGTTCAGAATAGTAATGAAGGCATATAAAATACTGCTCATAGGTTTCAGAATTTGTTTTCAGAAGGTCAAGAACAGATTTCAGAATTTTCCATTAGCTATTAAGTTCCATAAGTTCTCTATGATTTTATTTATTTATTTATTTATTTGGTACTGGAGATTAAACCCAGGGTGCTTTACCACTGAGCCACCCAGCATACCATCCCACCTTTCAAAAAACTTTTCGTTGCTTGGGGTCCTGCTAAGTTGCTGGCTTTGAACTTGTGATCCTCCTGCCTCTGCCTCCTGAGTTGCTGGGATTACAGGCATGACCCATCATTCTTGGTTCTCTCTGATTTATTACAACATTATAATGAGACTATTTTAGCAAACTGAGCTTTCTTTAAGGCAAGTAAATAAAGTTACAAATTATGCAATGTAGGGCAGAGTTCTTTCAATTCCTAGATGCTAAAGGCTAGGAAGAAAGGGTAGATTTTTAAGTATTTTTGTCAGTCTTGTCTAGTAATGTTCCGTATTCATTGAGTGGCAGCATCATGTAACCAGTTTTAAAACCCCCAAACCCTAGGTCGTGGTTGACAACTTTCTTACTATCCCCATCCAATCAACAATCAGCAAGTCCCACCAATTTTACTTACTGACCACTTTTCTAATTTGAAAATTTCCATGTCTCTCACTGCCATCACCCTAGTCCAAATTACTACCATCTTTCCCAGAACTACTACAAGAGCCTCGTGATTTGTTTATGAGACCCCCATATCCATTCTCTTCCAATCAGTCCTCATAGGACTATGAGGCTGGTCTCACTATCATCACTTTGGACATGAGGAAAATGAAACAGAGAGAGACTAAGAAATTTTCAAAGTTACACAGCTAGAAAAGGGTCCGAGCTAGAAATCAAACTCAGATTTGCATAGTCTACAGCTCTATGCTTCACTGAGCTGCCTCCCATTCTTAGTTCTATGATCCCAGGACATTAGTGTGAATATCAATCACTCTCCTTATTTAGACTTGGAAAAAAGAGAGACACTGGGAAACTTAATTATATACATGCTGTCAGTGTATGTTAATATACTCTGAAAATCTTTCTGTCCTCTTATTGCCCTAGCCTCTTTAATCTTAAGTCTTCTAGTTGAAAGTTAGAGTTGAATTTCAGTTAAATCTACTTATTATTTGCTAATAATAATAATAATTTTAAGGATCATTCAACATGTAATTTTAAAAAGATTTAGAAATAAATGAATTATTTTTCTTTACCTTATTCTTTTGATTAATTGAGCAAGATACGAAGCTCTATATAAATTATACAAAATAGATGTATGAAGATTTGAATTTGGGACCAACATACCTTATATACAAACAGAGATATAAAAAATTGTGGTATATATGTGTGTTAAAAATTGTAGGGCTGGGGATGTGGCTCTAAGCGGTAACACGCTTGCCTGGCATGCGCGGGGCACTGGGTTCGATTCTCAGCACCACATAAAAATAAAATAAAAATGTTGTGTCCACTGAAAACTGAAAAATAAATATTAAAAAATTCTCTCTCTCTTAAAAAAAAAAGAATTGTAGTGCAAAATAAAAAGAGTACATGTATAATGGCAAAAGTTAGTATGAACATACTTTATATACAGAGATATGAAAAATTGTGCTCTATATGTGTAATAAGGATTGCAATGTATTCCACTGTTGTGTACTTAATTAATAAATAAATAAATAAATAAATAAATAAAGAAAGAAAGGAAATTGGGTGTACAACCAGAGAAGTGAAAAACTGTGCTCCATTTGTGTATAACGAAGAGCATTCTGCTGTCATGTATAATTGATTAGAACAAATAAGTTTAAAATAAAAGGAAATTGGAAGCCAAAAAATAATTAATTAATTAACAGGATAAGTGAAGACATTATTGACAAGAAAAAGGTTGGTCTTGCTACTAGGACAACTTGTAATACATAATAGGGACAATCAACACAAAAACTTAGGGAAGCCAGAGGCCAGACTGCCTACAGCTGGATTAAGGAGAAACAACGTTCAATATGGGGGGAAAACCCAGAATGCCTACAAATAATTCACAGCTGGTGACACAATAATTCAGGTGAACTGACTGACAAATCCACAACTGCTGCATTATAAATAGCTCAGCATGGTGAGAGTTGCTAGGAGACCAATTCATTTATCTATCCTTTCTTAAAGTAGTGAAAGAGGAAATGGCAGAAAAATTAAGGTGAGCCCCAGTGAGTTAGTTCCAGCTTCACTTCAGAGAATGAGCTTTCCCTTTGTCATTCTTTTTACTCCCAAAGTATAAGATAATAAGTTTTAAAGGCCTAAATCCAGCACATTTATATTAATAGCTAAGAAATAATTATTTCTTAAAAATTTAAAAAGGAAAGACACAAGTTAAAATCTGGCAAGACAGTATCTCTGCTTTGTTTCTCATTTACTAAGGAAAAATACTCTAAATCCTATCTATAAATGTTTTTGGCAAGGAAGTTTTTTGAAAGAATAATTCTGAACATTACACAAATTCATTATAGGAAAAAAGAAAGAATACAAAGTCTTTGTTCATAAATTCTTACCAAACAAGTAAAAATGTGATTAAAAACAAAAGTTCCAATCTTTTTAACTTCAAGAAATGTACTGAGAACTAAAATCACCAGAAGCCAGGTATGGTGGCACATGCCTGTAATTCCACCTACTTGGGGGAAGCTTAGGCAGGAGGATCACAAGTGTGAGGCTAGCCTTGGCAACCTTGTGTGACCCTGCCTCAAAAAAACAAACAAACAAACAAACAAAAAACAGGGCTGGGGATGTCACTCAGTGGCAGAGCACTTCCTAGCACATCTGAGGCCCTGGATTCAATCCCCAGTACCACAAAAATCAATAAATAAAATAAAACCACTGGAAATATCAAGTAAGACACTTAGTTTTAAATTCTGTGTTCACAGAAACATTCTCTAAATGTGAAAAAGGAGGACACTTTTATACAGATGAGCTTCATACCATAGGGTTTCTCTTCTGTCACTTTCCCTGTAGAATCGAGTGTGTCAGTGGCTTTCCCCAGCTCTCCAATGGCAATGTACCTCTAGAGGAAGAAAAACAGAAAAGTGGGGCATGAGGTTGCGAAAAACTATCCTGCATGCCTTGAAGTTTATTCAGAATTTTATTAATAATACCAACCAGATAGAGAATGAAGGCAAAACAACATACTGAAATTGTTTTTTTGGTTTCTTTGTTTCTGATAGTGGGAAGCATTTGTGTAAACTGAGGAACATTCACAAACTTTCCATACTGGTCAACATGAGAAAGAAAAACCCATTTTAATGTTAATTATGGCTTATAAACATACTAGTATTGCAAACAAATTTCTAAAACCATTTTTATACTGGCAGTTTTTTTTTTAAAAAAGCATTTCAAATATATTTGGCCCTCTGTATCTATGAGTTCTGCATCTGCAAATTCAACCAACCACAGATTGTCATTATTCTCTACACAATACAGTTTAACAAAATATTTATATATCATTTACATTGTAATAGGTATTATAAGTAATCTAGATATAATTTAAAGTATGAGAGGATATATTTAAGTTATATGCAAACACTATGCCATTTTATACAAGGTACTTGAGTATTCATGGATTTTGTTATCTGTGGAAGTCCTGAAACCAATCCTCCACAGATACCAGGGGCAGCTGTTTGCCCATGAGTAGAGAGAATGGTACAATTAAACACAACATGGCCATCACAAGAATCAATAATAATTTTACCACACATATAATTAAAATTCATTTTAAATAAGCCAACTCATTACTTCTTATATAAAATACTAATATCAGGTTTAGTAACTAGATCATGCATTTAAACAAAAGCTAATTATGTAGAAAATAAGAAAAACTAGAATAGCAGGGGTAGTGCACTTACCTATTACATGTGTTTTCTCAATAAAAGGAACTGACACTAAAGCTCTCTGAAAGGAAAGGTCACTTCCAAGAACTGATCAATATCCACAAAAGAATAAGATCTGTCTTAGTCAACTAAGCATTGTCTTCTTCTCATCTTAGGGCACCCCTGTAGTACACATTCTTGTTACTACTTATTTGAAGCAACCCATAAAGCAGTGAGAAGAGTGCAAGAACTATTATTTCTGACTGAAAATAATCTGTTGTTATGTATTTTTTATTTTATATATAATATATATATATTTAAATTTTTTTGCTATTGGGATTGAATTCAGGGGCACTCAAACACTGAGCCACATCCCCAGCCCTATTTTGTATTTTATTTAGAGACAGGGTCTCACTGAGTTGCTAAGCACCTCACCACTGCTGAGGCTAGCTTTGAATTCACGATTCTCCTGCCTCAGCCTCCAAACCACTGGGATTATAGGCTTGTGCCACCATGGCTGGCTATTATGTATGTTTTTAAAAGAGAAAACTCAAAAGTATTTTGCTGAAATGTAGGTTTATGAATGGCAAATCTATTCTGCTAATGAAGGGGCCCAAGACAATAATGAAAAAATTAAAAATTTAAAATCCCATAAATACACAGACATTATATACAGCAGCCTAAGATCCTTGATAATATCACCTTCATTTTACATAGCTTGAATATCTAAAAAATGAAGAAGGGAATTGTTCCAATGCATTTAAATTAAAAATTTAAATATTTTTAAAATTAAAATTTTTAAATTTTTAAAAAGATTTCTTTAGGATTAACAAAAATTAGTTTCCTGTAAGTAAACACTCAGTCTCATCACCTGATGCCCAGTTCTTGCTTCTATATTTGGAACACTCCACCTTGAGTGAGCAACCACAGGGTGAAGGGTGAGAGCACAGGCTCAGGCCCACCCTGGCTGGTCTGAACTCTGCCTCCCCTGCAGGCAGTGAAGGCAAGTGGTCAAGGTAGTCTTAAGGGCTCCAGCATCAGTTGTTTATCTTAAATGGGGGAAATATCAGTGAGTACTTCATAAGAAGACTTTAGAACAATAGGACCAGCCCTGGTAAGCAACAGATAATAATACTATTTCCACTATTATTATGACTGGGAGGTGGAAATGGGAGAGAAGGGGAGAAAGGTATAGAATGATTCATAGTAACAATGGTTACAGTAACTGATCTGGTTACAGTGAGTTCTCATAAGAAACAGTAAAGTAACAAAGTATCCTGATTTTTCCCTTAAACACCTATCTAGTGGGCTCAGCACAGTCCTAGCACTAAAGACGCTGCAGCAGGAGGATCACAAGTTTGAGGCCAGCCTGGGTAATTTGGTGAGATCTTGTCTCAAAATAAAAAATAAAAAGGGCTTGGGATGTCTCAGTGTTAAGTGCCCACTCACGGGGGGGGGGGGGTAATCTAGCTACGTGAAAAAAACACAATGTAATCTTGTACACTGTGCTGCAACTGTACCCACCACTCTGCTATGTAATAGGTTTGAACTAGGGACCTTAACATGTTTGCCAGTATCCAATGACCATTCTGGCCTCCGGATTCTGGGTATTCTGTGCCTTGGCACAAACTACTTCCATGGCCTAGAACCCCTCTCTTCTCTATGGATCAAACCTTATTCATCTTTCAAAGCCACACAATTAAACCACCCTACTCCCAAAACATGGCTAAGAGGAGGTGCTTAATACAAATTAGTACATCAAAAAAATGAGGCTTACATCAAACCTATAAAATCCCATCACAGCTCTTAAGGAGTATGAACATATAAAGTATTCTCCTAGGTGCATGTGACAAACACAAACACAGACTAGAGATGTTATAGTGCTCTAGGCCTCTAGGAGGTTACAGTTTAAGACATAAGACAACAAAAACAACTGCAGGGGAAGAAAAAACTGCAGGGGAAGGAGCCCAATGGTGACAACAGATAGGGGCTGTGGCCAGCGGTTTATTTTACTGAGCACTCATAACACAGTGCTTGGCACATCATCATCCATGTGTGTCAACTGTCTGCTATGTTCATTTTATATACTGATTCTTGCCTTCTCAAACTATTCATTACATCATAATTCCACTACAATAAAACAGAGGTCCTATATAATATTCCATTTAATTGTGTGCTCTTTGGGACTCGTGGTTTTGCTTACAGTACTCTATTCTCCTTGTCCTTGAGTTCCTTGAGCCCCACAGCAGGTGTTAGCTAGACACCTAAGAGCAAATCACCACCCACACCTTTCAGGAGGAAATATTCTGTAGTTCACAAAGTGTACACAATCATTTTCAAAAGTTTGTGATTCAAAGTTTCACAAATAAAACAAAAAGATGGATATTTTTAGAATGAGGAAGGATATTTTTTATAATCCTACCAAACCAAAAACATGTGGCTTTGAGTGTCTTAAGAAGGAATTGCTGTTTACAGTTCCTAAGTGTAAATCCTTCAAAATTTTCAATATAAATAAAATATCTGAATATTCATAAAGGATATAGAAAGGGTAAAATTAGACTACACTCTGGAGAAGGCACTGGTATCTTAAAGGTCTGCCCAAGTTTTGTAAAACATTATTTAAGTCACACTTCTGAGTTCTCATGACTGGGTAACCTAAAAAATGCTAGTGTGTTCTTAGGGAAAGCCTCTGTCCTTTGACCACATGTTGGGTGGGAAACTTTGTGCACTCCAATGATAACACTTGTTCAGCTCTTGGGGGTGATATAAAGCTGCTTTCTGAGGAAACACTGGCTTTGTCTACAGGTTCTACTATATTTTACTGCCACATAGATGGGGGATAACTTCATGCCTTTACAACACTAATTAGATTCAAGTTTCCATAATAGGACATCAACTCTTCCATCTGTTGATCTAGTTCCTAAAACATCTATAAAAGTAACCAACTTTAACAATCAATACAGAAAACTAATAAAAAGAGCAATCCAAAACCTCATCAAAGATGGTTACTCCAAAGCATACCATCTGTTATCCAGCTTCTGCAAATAACCAGCTTACAGAAGGTATAATTTAGGAATAACAGTAGAGGGACTAACACCTTCCTTTAATCTACATACTCTACTTAGACCAGGTGAGGTCAGAAGAACATATTGGTCTCATTTCTCAGAGTTGCTTTGCCTGAATTATATTTTATGTAGATCTACTTCTACATCCGTTATAAACTATTTTTGAGGCCAATAATCTGTCATTTGATACCCTGATTGTAATAAATTTCTTTCGAGATTAGGCCCAGAAACTCTCCCTTGAAGAAATAGCATTCTTTCTCCTTCTGATGCATATCATATTTTGTCAACAGCACCAGAAATCACTGATAGGAATAAAAAAGTAAAATTAGCTATATTCAAGAAATACAGCAGAACTTGCTTGTGAAAAATTATTTTAGGTGTCTGACATGTAACTAGAAAAATCTAACAGGCCTGGAATTCAAGAGAGAAAGGATTTGGTGAATCCTGAAGTAAAATACTCAGAAACAGTAATAACATTATTGTTATAGTGCAAAGAAGGCACTAAAAAGAAAATTTAGATGCTTTTTACAAAATTATACATGTAACCCCCAAAAATGTAGTGGGAAAAAATATATAAAACACTCAAGAAACATGACCATTATTAGAACACGGGTTACTATAAGACAGGAGGACAAGATAATGAGGAACACGGGGAAAGGGCTCTTTTCTTAACTTTTAAACCTTGATAGTCACTGTTCTTTAGAGATGGAAGCAAAATAATCTGGTGACCTGGAGATTTTATTGAAAAACCCAGCACTCCATATTAATTGATTGTGGTTCTAGGAAGTGTCACTATGTTAAAAAGAATTCTAAGGATGCTTCTTGATTCTGCAGAAAAATTATTAGCCTAGGTGTAATTAGCAAGGTCTCCAATTAGAACTTGTTGGTGAGGGAAAGGAAAGTTATGTCTGTATCAAAAATACTGAGTATCTATCATCCTAGAGAAAATATTTCTACTCCTAGAGTAATTCTGAAAGTAACTCTACCCTGCATATACTACAAGTGCAATTTTTCTAGTAACACTGTGAAATAAACACCTGTAAAAATAAGAAGTGGAGAAGGAGTAAGCATTAGATTGAACACCAAGTCAGGACTAAGTCAGAAGGCTACAGCCACCAGTGTTTTTTTTAATGAAAAAAAAAAAAAATATATATATATATATATATATCAAAAGTACATCATACCTAGGGTTAAAGTTGTTCAATGAAATTTTTGCTTTTTATACTTGTATGTGTACATAGGGTCATGATGTAAAATAATTTTTTTGCTATGAATCTCGGTCAAAAAAAATTCTTTTTTTTTTAAATTTCAATATTTATTTTTCAGTTTTCAGTGGACACAACATCTTTGTTTGTATGTGGTGCTAAGGATTGAACCTGGGCCACATGCATGCCAGGCAAGCGTGCTACCGCTTGAGCCACATCCCCAGTCCAAAAAAAATTCTAAAGTCATTGGATGAGATGATCTCTCTCTAGTACTAAAAACAATAATCAGAAAAATATTCATTAATAGTTTTACTATTTCTGACAAAAATGTAATTTTCAACATACTTAAAGGTAAAATTTCAATTATTTAGTTCTTGCAACAAATACATAACAAAATTAAAATGAGAAACGGCTATCAAGATAATTGTTAGGTCGGTGGCGGCGACTTAGAACAAAGCAGCCCACGCTGGAAAAGAACATCAATCAGATGCCAGCGGAAATGCCTGTCAATCAGCCAGATCTCCTGACTAACGCCTGTCAATCAGCAGGACCCCCTGGCCAATCCTGGAGTTCAGCCAACTCCCCTGACCAACTCCAAGGGGGCAAGGGACTCTAAGAACACCTTTTCCTGTCCCAAGCCCTTCCCTTCCTGCTGTAAGCCCCATAAAAGTCCAGTCTGTCCAGCTTCCATGCGGTTTCTCCTCAGACCCTTCCCCTGTCCCCTCTGTGGGTCTGATCAATAAAGCCTGTTCAGCGGCCCTTTTAAATCTGCCTCCTTTGGCCATTGCCTGCCCCATCTGATCTGACAATAATGATGCCTATTTTTGAAATGTGAAACACCTAAGAACTAGGTTTCTGTAACGAGATACAACTGGGATATTCTATATAAGTTATAGTCTTGTAAGGATCCCTGATGTCATCACATGACATTCAGCTTTCCTAGATGGGCAGCAAAATGATTTGTAAGTAAAACTCAAATGAGAGTCAATGATGTACTTACATTTTCAGTCATCACATTTCTGAAAATATGCCTGGAATTTATAAGTAAAATCTTTCAATAACATATTTTTTTGTATATATTTGTGGTTTGGGGGGAAGGGGTGAATAAAATATTTCAATGAACCCAACAGATTTTGTCTTAGGGATAAAAACCCAAAGTCTTTAATGTAAATAAATAAATTATATTTATATATATAATTATACACACACACACACACACACACACACACACACACACACATAAAAGTGACTTGTAAGGATTTTAGAAAAAACAAGTAATGTGAAAAAAGAAAATAAAAATCATATTCCCCTATTAAATTACCATTATTTATATTTTGAAGATAAGAAACAAATATTAAGCAACTGGCAAAAACCTGTATCAGAAATAGACTCTCAACTCTGTGCATTAATAGGTAAGCACAATGTATAAAGTTAGTGGAAAACAGTCAAATGCTTCCATTCTAACACAATTTCTGTATTGTGATTTTTCAACAACATTAGTTTCAAGATTATAGAGCAAGCCACATTAAAATTTTTCACTCATCTAAGGCATTAAGAACCCTTCAACTTGAAGGCATATTTTTAAGCCCATTGATTTTTCCAGGAATTTAATTTTAAGAAAAGCTTAAACAAACCACCACCACTCTGAAGTGTGGTCCACGAGCCAGTACCCGTTAATAAGATAGATTCAGAAAATAAGGATGTTTAGAAACTTATTTAGCAATTTGACATTGCTATAAGGTTTTAATTACACTTTACAAAAGTCATCCATCAGTCTGCAATGAACTGGAAATTTACTCAAGCAGTCTTTGACCACATTTATTTTTTAAGAAACAATAAGATAAAAATCAATTTGCCAACTATTTATATTACACTTAGAGCAAGGGTTTTAAAACATTTAGTTTAAGAACTTGGCGAAATCCTTCTGTACCTTCTGGCATAGTAACTTTCTTCCACTGACATTTTCACTGGACCCCCAGCCCCAGCTATCATAACCAGGGCCTGACTGCTAATTAAAATACACATATAAGCTTTCCTTTGAGAACTGGAAGAGACACTAATAATCTTTCCTAGGGAGGTCAACTACTTTGACATCTGATTTGTTTCAATGTTCCTTCTGCCACACTCAATGCCCAATGCAGTCCACAAGTTTCTAGCCTCTCTTGTCTGAGTAAACTCTCTTCTCTTTCCTACCAAGGATCTAAAAAAGTGCTTCTGGATCTTGTCAGGGCTACCTTCTTTCTTTTGGGGGGTGGGTGGGTGGGTACTGGGGATTAAACCTGGGGCGCTTAACTACTGAGCCACATACCCAGCCCTTTCCATATTTTATTTAGAGACAGAGTCTCACCAAGTTGCTGAAGCTGGCTTTGAGCTCTCAATCCTCCTGCCACAGCCTCCTGACTGGCTGGGATTACAGGCATGCATCACCATGCCTGACCAAAGCTACTTTCACAGATGAACAATATAATTTGTCATCTCAAGGCCATATTCTTTTCTTTAATAAACATTTATAACCACTGAACAAAGTATGATTTGTTAAAAAGTACATGGTTTATAAAATGCTAGTTTTATAAAAATTCCAAGGTTAAAAAAAAATCTTCCAACAGAAATCATAACCTATAAGTTTGCTTTCATCTAAAGATTAATTTTTTTTAAAAAGCTGCATAAAATTTTTAAAAATTATATGCAGATATTTTTGTTTTAAGTCTAATTTGTTTTTCAATTTAGAATCTTATAATTGAATCATGAATGTTTGTGACATTTTGATTAATAAGAGTGAAACTTTTCATATAATTTAAAGTTTGTTTATTCTTTAATTGAAAATATTCAAAGGATAGTTCAGTAAGAAAAACATTAAAGATAAAAGAAAAATATTCCAGTATTCTTACCTTGGATCCTGATAACATACTGGTCAACATTTTTGTTCCCCTTCCAATTCCAACCACTACAAATCAAAGAAAGAAATACTATGACACTCTATTTTGAAAATTAGGTTTTTAGAATACCTACATATTTGGTCTCTGACCTATATAGTGTGAAGTTGGAAAGAGATACAGCTAACATAATTTGAAAGTTCCTATTACTCAGATCAGTTGAACTTCTCATAAAATTAAGGAACTCTGAAGAGAAAATGRGAGAGAGACCCTTTTTTCTCCATTCTCAAAGTATTAAAAACTACAGAAACCTCAACCTAGCCAATTAGATGATGAAGTTTTAGAACAATCTCAAAGGACTCACTGGAATTTTATATGGGCACCAGTGAAAAATACATGTGGCAATTAACCATGTTCAAGTGGTGTGATGAGATCTTGTCAGAGTTCATTACTAAACAAAGCAAAAGCCATCATCCTAGCTAATGAACCATTTAAAGATGATTAGTGCCCGGCAGGATACAAAGAAAAGAGAAACAAAACAAATCAACCTAACACAAAGAAAACTACAGGCTAAAATGAGGGCCTAGAGAGAGTATTTTAACATAGACCAACTCTAAAGTACAATGGCCTACCTTTCTCTTCAGTTTCAAACACATACTTATAACCACACATTTCATCAGGTGCGATTGAGAGGCTTTAATAATTTCTTCACTTAATAGCAGGCAAAATTTGATAGAATTGGTTATTTATCATCAATGGACACAAGTGTGTGTAAGTACACAATATAACCACACAATTCAGAACTCAGAAGAAACTGCAGAGATGATTAACAAACTAAAAAAACTGTCATCACTATTTGTAGCAGATATCATTCAATGAGTTCATCATATATCAAATTCCACTCTGGGTTTCATTCATTGTCTCATTTAATCCTTAAAACGACCCTAAAAAGTTATAATTACCCCCTGTTTTATAGATGAGGAAACTGAGGCACAGAGAGACTAAGAGCTTTGCCCAGCATCTCACAACTAACACTGATGGAGTTAAAATTCAAACCAGACTGGCCTCACCTTTTCATTCCCCTGAATCTTACTGATCCATGCTTGCTTCCCACCGCCACAGGCCTAACTCACTGCAAACATGACTGTTCCATAATCTGTCCCTTCCTTTTCCAATTCATACTATTTTATAACTATTTCTCAAAACCCATTTTGCATACTTCAAAACCCCCAACAACTTAATAACATTCCAATTTTTACAGTACCAACCCCTTAGTATTCAAATCTAACCTTCTAAACCCAGGTAAAGACCCAACTCATTCATAAAGTCACTTCTACACTTCTGTGGCACTCATTTCTATTGATCCTTGGTCTCTAAATAGAGTCACATTAGTTCTAGAACTAAAACCAAAAACTGCCCTCCTTTAATAAACTCTGAAGAACACAATATCCTTCAAATGACAGGATGTGTTGACACTTCTCCCACTGAGGCAAAAACTTTGTACAATAATAACAACAAAGATGCAATGCAATTTGATTCCATTAAAATGAGTCCCTAATCAATACTCTTTGAACAGCTACTATGTGCACATTTCCAAGAGGAATATTTCTAAAGGAACAAAAAAAGAAAACTGAGACACATTTCCTGACTTTGAAAGAGTCTATAATCTCAGGGGTAAAACATCATACAGAAGAGGAAAATCACAGTGCTCAAGAATTATTGCCTGAATTAATAAGTGAATAAGGCAATATGTGAATATACCATTAAGCATTAAAATGACCACAGAATAACTGAGGCAGGAGGTCACAGGCAAAAAGCACTCTAAATGCTTGAAACCAGAGAATGCTTCATTCAAGCATTCCAAACAATTCATGTAATAGCATCCCATTGCATCACAAGGGACAAAGACACTGGTGAAATCCATATGCAGGCTCCCTTACTTCCTCCCTCCTATGAGGGGGACACTTGAGCTTGCTCCTTTTTCCAACAGTGAAAAGACAGTAATATATGTGCAATGTTTCTCTCAGAGAAGCTTAACAGCAACTCAGTGCCCAAAGTTTTTATTGGAGGTTTAGGAATGGTCACCCAGGCATCCTCTGCTTATGTGCTGGGACAAAATTCCAGATTCTTGGAAGAAAAGTAGATTTTCATGCAAAAAGCTTGGCACAGCAAACTGCCCTTATCCTACAGGGAAGGGTGGGAACACTCCTAAAACTTAGGTTTGCAGATGCCAGCCCAAGACAAACCTTATAAGCAGAACTTTCTAAAGATAGCAATTCCAGGCCTGTGGTGGTAACTGTTTTCTGTACAGATACAAACCTTTTCTCAAAGCCTTAATCCACACATGAAAGTATAACTTTCTATACTTTGTCAGGGTTTCTTTAGAAAATAGCACTCTAATCCAGTAAAGTAAAGCATTCCAAATTAGGCTAATACTGGCATGGCTTTAACCAATTAGTCTGCATTCAACCAATCTTTTTGATATTAGAGGCAGTTCCATTTAGCTTTCTCATTTCTTACCCAAAACGCCTCGAGCTGCGCTGTCTAGAGTCCCTCCGTGTCCAATTTTCAAAGTCTGCTTTTTCCTCTTGGTCCATTCTGGAGAGGGCATTCCAGCTTCTATGAGAGTAATTGAGATGAACGAAAGTAATTACCAAGATGAGTGAAGTAGAGTTTCTATAAACTTGGGGGAAGATAGGATGATATTCAAAACAAATAACACATTATACAAACTTAACATATTAAGACTATAACATTACTAGCAAAGAATAGTTTTTAAATGTACACACTTCCCTAAATTACARAAAAAAATATTGTTCCAAAATTAGTTGTCTAGAAACTAGAATTCAAGAAAATGAAATCAATACTTTAAAAAAATGGGTAAATATCAAAGACAAGCCATAAAAAATCTAGTAAATTCCTGGTAATGTGATCTGTGAGAGAATGATGAAAAGAAGTTAACTTTGATATAGACAACTAGTTTTAAAAGTCCTCAATTTGCATTTCTAACTCTCTTCCATTACCTGGTGTTCTTCACTGGTAGACTAGCCACCTAACATTGTGAGTACATCTCATTCAGGGATACTGCCACAGACACTGAGATCACAAACTACTTTTGTTTGTTTCCCATCTTCTAATTAAAACTCAGTTCCTTAAAGAAAAAAATCTCAACTAAAGGTTATGTGGGAAACAGGTTGTTCAGTTGTCTCTTGACCTCTAAAGCACTTAATTTTTWAAAAAAAAAAAAACCCTGATTTATCTCTCACATGCTTGTCATAAAGATAAAATTAAATAATGTTACCTGACAATGCTTTGGAAAGTACGAAGCACTTAAAAGTTATGCTGCTGCTGTTGATACTTAACAATATACTGAGAGAATACTGGCTACTGATTAAATGAGAAAGGAGAGAACAAGACAGCTATAATGATCTACATCCCAACCCCTCAACCTTTCAAACCCAGGAGACAGAAAACAGCAAAAGGCAAAGAAAGGAAGAGAGAAAAGATGAGGGGAAATCAAAGCAGTAGTAGAAATGGAGAAGCCAGGTAAAACAGCTAATATGATGTGCTGGGTTGCTCAGCCTCACTGCATAATTACCACCCTACTGAGTCAGAACCACGTTATCAGGAACACAGCCCCAGTGTCACTCTCTAATTACGACATCACCATGCTTGGAAGAGCATGGCTGTCTGCTTTGACATAAATTCCTAAGGTTTGGCCTAGCCTTCAAATGCCTCACTTTTCACTTGCAATCTATCATGGATCTTTCATCCATGAATTTACTGAAATCTTTGGGGGGTATTTTCAGCTTGATACTTCTTGTGTGAATGCTCTATAAACTTACTGTATCATCTGTAGCCAAATTTACCTCTTTCTAATTTACAGACATACTATTTCCACCACATTGAAATTTGGCTCAATTTACTGAAACAAATACTCATGGGTGAACATTTGTTAAGGTTTTTTCTAGCTATAAAATTCTGATGTTTCAGGCCTTGAAGGATTCAGACGGAGAACAGTGGGGATTATAGTGTGGTGGGAATCAATATTAAAAAAAGACATGGGGCTGAGGATGTGGCTCAAGCACTAACGCGCTCAGCACTAACGCGCTCAGCACTAACGCGCTCAGCACTAACGCGCTCGCCTGGCACGTGCAGGGCGCTGGGTTCGATCCTCAGCACCACATAAAAAAATAAAATAAAGATGTTGTGTCCACCAAAAACTAAAAAAAAATAAATATTAAAAAAAAGACAAATGATGTTTATTAGAGGCCATGACCATTAACTGCGGTTTTAATTGGTGCTTGTCAAACAAGGCCATTATCAGAATGTGAGTATCATAAGGAACCTTCCCAGGTAATTCTGTCAACTAGTCAGAATGGCACTTGGGAAACCCCAGTTTAGTTAACATAAATAAAAAATAGCTCAATCACAAACACTGTAGAGATGGATGGCACTGAGAATATCAATATCTGAATGCGTGGTTTCCAGAAAACAACCTAGCCATAGCATTGAAGCAATCAATTTTAACTAAGTTTCAAGAAGAACATTCAGTTCTTGGAGGTGGACTAACCATAAGGCCAGAGTATGGCTTTGATCCTGTCAGAAACTTTTTGGAACAAAAGAATGGTAACCATTACCTTAAGGATCAAAAAAGCCATAGTTCTGCTAACAAATCAGGCCAAATGAAGGCAGGAACTCTATGAAGGAGGAAAAAAAAACTTTAATGATAATACTATGCTTACATTGATGCAATTCCTTGCTTCAACATCCCTATATGACCCTTTGTAATAGGCGACAAAAGTATAACAAAACAATGAGTAGGTATAACACTGGAATTCAACTGTTAAGTCTACCTGTTAGCCAACAAACATTTAAATCTGTATTGTGCCAGTTATAATTAATTTCCTATCAGAATAATTTGGTTTTGCATTTTTTTTTAAATGTAGTTTGTCAGGGAACACTAAACAATTAAGAAAGTTCCCATTCTGGTTTAATGGCAAGACAGGCTAGGACCAAACCCTGGAAAGCCTCAAATAACCTTAATAGTTTTACCACTAGAGCCTGAAGAGGTTATTAGACTGTGAGCTCAGTTACTGGAAGAGATAGTATGTTTCATCTTCTTGCCTCTTTAAAACAAGACAGATCTAGCTTAGTGTGGGGTCCAATATAACTAAAGTTCTGTTGGGCACAGTGGCACATGCCTGTGATCCCAGGGGTTCAGGAGGCTGGAGGAGGATTACAAGGTCAAAGCCAGCCCCAGCAATGTAGCAAGACCCTGTCTCAATATGAATTTTAGAAATGGGCTGGGAATGTAGCTCAGTGGTTAAATGTCCCCTAGGTTCAATCTGGTACCAAAAAATACAAAAGCAAAAATTAAAGTTCTGTGATACTACTATCTGTAGTGATCTAGGGGGCTGATGAACTCTGTGATCCTTCAGGCTCTTCTAATATTTTCCCAGCATATGTGACCCTCAGAAGCACAGGTTCTGGAAGGCAAGGGTTAGGAATCTGCTGTTGTTCAAGACTCTCAATAATTCTTATGCCCATTAAAATGTGAAAAACAATGTAGTAAGTCTTGCCTAAGTATATCTGCTTTAATATATTTTGAAGAATGCAACTTTGCGGGTACAGAGCCAGAGCTTCCTCTGAAGAGGTTCATCCACATGAACAGAACAAAACCCTCCTGAGGCATCAGATTGCAGAAAATTGGTGTGCTCACTGTAGGGTAGAAATTTATTGTGTATGAGTGTGTGTGTGTGTGTGTGTGTGTGTATGTGTGTGTTTTAATCTCCCACTCCCCATCATGATGACAACTGGGTTATCAAAAATTTATGCAGGCCGGCGCGATGGCGCACGCCTGTAATCCCAGCGAATCCGGAGGCTGAGGCAGAAGGCTCCCGAGTTCAAAGCCAGCCTCAGCAATTCAGCGAGGCCCTAAGCAGCTCGGATCCTGTCTCTAAATAAAATACAAAAAAAGGGGGGGGGGGCTGGGGATGTGGCTCCGGGGTTAAGTGGCCCTGAATTCAGTCCCCGGTGCATTAATTAATTAATTAATTCACGCGAGGGCAAGCCCAAGCCCGAAATGCCTGATTTCTGTCCAGGGCTAATCTGGGGGTCGTTCTCCCTTTCCCTTCCTCTTCTTTCTCCAGCAATGCGTATTGCAAAAAGCCCAACCTAGTCCCCTCCCGGGCTGCAGTACCTGCTAGCAGCTTCTCCTTCAACCGATTCAGCAGCTCGGCTGAAGTGGGCCCTTTGGGCTTGTGCACGGCGAACACGCCGCTAAGGGACAGCAGCTTAGTAGCCAAGGCGGCCTTGACGACCCTGGCTTCGCATCCGGTCCTAGCTGCGGCTGCAACCGCCACGGCTGCAGCCGTTGCTGCCGTGGTCGCCGCCGTTGTTGCGGCTGTTTCGGCACTTTCTGCAGTTTCAGGGGCTGGGTCTGTTTCTAAAGACGAAGACGACACCACGGCCGCCTCTGCAGCTGCCATACTTTGACGGCCCAGTCCTGTTACCGGGAGGCGCATATTGATGACGCAACAAGATTGCGCTCGACAGCCGTCTTTCCCCAGCCGGGCGAACGCGCGGGGCCGCAAGGGCCTGTGGGAGTTGTAGTTCACGGCTCCCTGCACCCGCCAAGGGTTCGCTGAGGCGCCCCTGGGTTCGTTTTTCTTCTAGAATCCTTTCTGCTTCTTACCAGGGGTTAGTTGCGTGCCGAAGAGGTTATTTTCAGTTGCAATCCTAAACTACCAAAACCCAAATACCAAATCTATGTTTTAGATGGAGGAACCTCTCCGTATCCCACCTGCACACCCTCGCCTGAACTAAAGCATCCCACATCAAAGAATAGAAAGCCTGATGACCTTTGATGCGGCTTGTCAGGGTCCACGGCCGCCTAGGCTCACTGTTTCGTCCGATTTGCAATCAAGGTTTCGAATTAAAATACACCTATTGTAAGCCCAGTTAGAGCCAGGAACCTGTGCCTGGCTGTATCTCTATTGCCTCATGCCTAGTAGGTGCTTAAATAAATATTTTGAAATGAATAAATGAATAGAATTCAATCCCACAAAGAAACTTATAGGCCGAGCCAATGGCAAATCATTCTGGCCTATTCTGGTACCCCGCTTCTCCTGTCTCCCCCACCTCCCCATTTCTTAACAATTTGAAGAGTTTCCGTACTAAGTCTTCATTATGCTGCATTCTTTAGAACATTGTTAGGATGTGAAAAGCATTATTGAAATTCACAAAATTTATCTACATTCAATTTGAGAAATTCAAAGTTACTTATTTCAATTCAAAGTTACTCAATAAAATCCAAAGAGTATTATTCTGATCCTAGCACAGGCAAAATGGAGACAGTCAGACTCTTGCATTTTATTTCCGCTCCACACACTAAATACTGTACTGAATATGGTGAGACAAATAAGTTTGTTTTCAACATTTTCTTACAGCCACTTTTTCATCATCCTCTTGGACCTTAGTATTTAGTATCCTAATGATGTCTCTTAGCTGCTCAGAATCACCAGTTAGGGGATCCCATGTGAATTTGCTACCATTCATGCAATGAGCACATGTCACAACAATTATTTTAWATACAATATTTCTTCCTTTCTATATTTTCACCCTTACCCATTTCAACTAGAATATGAAATTCTAATTAAATCTTTATCTGGAAAATAGAAAAATGCGAATGTACTTTAATGCCACAGAACTATACATTTAAAATGGTGAAAGTAGGAAATTATGTGCTGTATGTAGTATATATTTTACCACAATTTTTAGAAAGGCAAAAAAAAATCTTTGAGGAAGTTTTTATAGGGTGGAAAGCTGCAACTCCTAGAAGGAAGCCCGGTATACTTTTGACCTATTTCAAAGCCTAAGCTAACTGAAAGATGAACATATCACAAGATTAGCGGATATCTGCACCTGCATCAAGATTTTCTCCATTCCAGAATGTGACAGGACATAGAAGGGATGGATGACTGCACCCTGGGAAGCAAGGGATATTTTGTCTCAGCCAAGCTTTATGTGTTCTCCTCTTAGCTTGGAAGCAAAGAACCAGGGACTTTCATACAAGGTTTCTGGGTTAAACGATTATTTGGAGATTTGAAACACAGCCCTTCCCCATTGTCCAGACATCAGTAAGCTTCTCTAATTCTATGTGACTCTGGGGTGGGGATGTGAAGGGAGGGCAGAACTAGGGGAGACAAATAATGCTTAATTAAATTTGAATTTTCTACCAGCCCAAAGCAGAGTCTGAGTTAATTTGATTTAAAGAAAAAGAAATGGATTTTTTCCCCATTTGATTTCTTGGATGCTAGGGCAAAATAAAATTAATTCTGCTCTGATAATCAAATGCGTATTGTTGGCATCAGAAGCTCCAAGCTCTAATTTTTTGAGATAACTGACATTTCTCACATAGGGCAAGCCTTAAATGCAACGGCCTTTTTACTTGATGCATACAAGTTGGGATTCTTATGTTAGAAGCAACAGAAATCGATTTATACCAGCTTGGAAGGAGGTGGGAGGATTGATCAGAAATACACTAGAATACTACTCAGAACCTGAGAAGGTTAACTGTCTCCCCCACCTCCACCTTTTTTTGCTATATTCTTGTGTTTTCTTCTTTCTTCTCTGTTGCTTCTAATAGCTTTTCCTCTAATCCTCATTCCACATTTGTTGGGTAAAACCATCCTGTTTTGATCAGCTTCCCAAAGTGTTCTGAATGAGTTTGCTACTGGCCACCTGTAGAACATCCCTCTGCATAACACTTTCCCATTCACATTCCTGCTTTTTCTCCACAGTACCTCATCTGAAATACTACATATTTTACTCATTTTGTTTAATGTCTGATTCCATCTACCAGAATATAAGCTCCATGAGAACAAGAATGTTCATTAATTGCAGAATCTCCAAGGCCTGAAATAGCAGCAGATATAGCACTTAATGAGTATTTGTTAAGTAAAGTAAATGAGAGTTCCCCGAGAAATCTCCATTAAGGGTTTAGTTCCAGTTCCCAATAAAAGTGGAGTGCTGAACACATAAAATAATAGTTGTGTGTAATATACGAAATTTACCACACTTGGCTTCAAATGCCTTAATCTCATAAGTATGGCAAAGAGAATAAAATTACTAAATGCCCGTGTAACAAGACTCCAACTTTCTAAATCAGCTTCCTTCCTCAGCCACCCATGGGCCACTAAAGATTGTTCACCAATAAGACTCAAACATCAGCAAGAGCCAAATCTACAGCTGCATTCCCAGAACACTTCTCTGCTCCCTGACGTAGGCATGTATGACTGGAAAAGCTGTTTTTCACACGGTCTTCTCCAAATTTTGTTCATCCATGGAACTTCCTATAGATGGTAGAATCAGTAGTACATGATGAGAATTTAGAGCTCCAAGCCCTAATTTTTTGAGATATATATAGTTCATATATAGTTCAAGGCACAAAAAGGTATTCCTGATATCCAAGAAGAGAAAACTGAGGATGCTCAAGCCTGTGCCATAAACTTGAGAAAACCATAGTTTTTAAAAAGTTCAGAGAAAAGATAGATCCATGTTCTATCTGTCCATAAAATTTGGAAGAGCTAGAAAATTATTTTTTTAAAAAATCTGTGCCATTGAAATGAATCCCAATAGAGAAGAAAATGGTAAGGTAACTAAAGAAATTAGTGGTTGATTGCACAAGGAATTCTGCTATGAGCTGAGGGGTCTAAAAGAAACACACTGCAGAACCTTCAGGGTGAGTGACTAGAAAGTTAAACTTTTTAAAATATAAATATCTGTAATGTTTTGGTTTTGACCTTACATTGTAATTAAGAAAAATAGTAGCAATAAAGTAAAACTTAAATTCAAAGAACATTTTTGGTTTTGTTTTTTTAAAAAGAAGGAAGTATAGATGATAAAATACTAATACCAGAAATCATCACAAACCCGTAGGAGGTCAGAAAAGCCAACATCCAAATGACTTGGAAATGGAGAAAAAAATCCAGGTATATTAAAAGAAAACAAAAATAAACTGTTTTTAAAAAAATCAAGAAAGAGATTTATTTCTTAAGGCTAGTAAGATAAAGGAAATGAACAAGAAAGATGAAGCAAAACTCTGATTGGCCTGTTGTCTCTATCAAGGAGAATAATTTTGGGGGTGGAAATGGAAAAAGCAAAGAATTGGAGGAGAGTAAAGTTCCTGGCGGTGACAAGGAAGAGGCTCTCCCTGTGATACTGGAGGTTAGAGCTTCTGGTCTAGAAAATTCTGTCTTGAGGTGGGGGCATATGAAAACTTGCAAAAGAGATAGCTCAAGGGGACAAACTTTTGTTGAATATATGATATGCACTCACACTTAACATTGGCCTGGAAGTTCTAGAGTAAATCTCAAGTTATGTTTGTGGAGACTCTGGAGTATAATGGGTGCCAAAACTTGACCACAAGGTAGGTGGTAGTATTATTAATATGATGATTATTATTATTTAACTAAAAAAGAAACTGACACTTAATGAGATTAGTTAATTTGATTAAGGCATAGAGTTTGTGGATATGTTGGGAGTCCCCAAGACCAGCTTCAGGCTGGATTCACTAAAAAGACTCAACGTTCAGAAAAGCTGCAATACTCATAGTTGAAGTTTATTATGGTGAACGATTAAAATTAACAAAAGGAAACGTATGTGTAATTAAACCAGGCACTAGCTTCCAGTTTCTTCTTCTAGTGGAGTTGTATATATGGAGCTTGAGTCTCGTAACACTGAAGTGTAACAACATGGGTGAAGTGTTGCCAGTCAGGGAAATTCATCTGAGCCTTGGTTTATTGGGGATTAGTGCCTGCGTGACTAATCCTACTTGGCTACTCAGTCTCTGGCTCCACAGGTTAAACTGATGCAGTCTAGAATAGGTGCCTAATAATTTAGTACATTCTTATCAGGCAGGATATTCCAGGGGTTCAGAAGTTGTTTCAGAGCCAGTCTTTTCTTTGGAATGTGCAGGGATCAAGTTTCCCAAATTTGCTGGGTTAACTTTTTATAGCACAGCAAACAATCTGGTACTGGAAATCCAAGACTTACTCCAAATTTTCCAGAGCCTGCAATAACCACTGCCAAAGATCTTGGAGGTATAATGGAGAATTTACTTCTGGAGTAAGTCCAGAGGACACCATTTGGCTAAATATTATTTCAATTTTCAAAAGTATTGAAGGCAGATTTAGCAACCTGCATATAAGAAACCTGGGTAGGAGTCTAGAATAGGTGGCTAATAAGTTAGTTGTATAAAAAGGAGGTTGTGATTATAGAAAGTCAGAATGGGCTTATTAATTCAACAAACATTTAACAAGGCTCTACTCTGTGGAAAGCATCGAGAATTCAGCAGTAAGTAAACAATCTCAGTTTGTGCTCTTGTAGAGCAAACGAGCCTTGAGTTTCTATATGCCAGAGGTAAGTGACAGRCAAACTTCCTACCCTCAGAACTCCTTTTAAATAAGTCATTCTTGTTTAAAAATAATACAGATTCTCTTTGA